TTTACTGTTCAACATTCAGTTGAAAAGACAGTTCCAGAAAAGATGGGTAGGTCAAATCCCACTTCTGACCACTTTACAGAAAAAGTATAACTGTTTTCATCCTAAGGCATTCATGCACACGCAACAAACAAAATTAAGTGGCCTTCTCACAGTGTCAAGATTTATCTAAAATTACATTCTTCTCAGAAAGTAAAGATTAATCAATTATTAGCATGAATTCTACTGGTGTTAAAGACTTTTAAGTAATCCTACTCTGACTTATGATTATTCATAAGTCAGTTCATAGTGGTTTTATATTACTTCAACAGAACTTTCTCAAATTAAGTGGGACCAAGGTTGTTGACCCTGTGCTCTCAATCTACAGTTACAGAAAACAGTATGTCAGCAACCAGCAGCTCCTATCTTATCCACAGACACCACACTAGTATTGTTTCCCTGTAACATGTGCTGTAACTTTAGGCTGCCTGGCAAAGGCAGGAAAACAGATTATGCTTTTAAGTTTTTACCTCTTCCAAAACATGTAAGAAATCAGGTGTCCCTGTACCACCAATGATCACCTCTGACATCTGTCATTATATCCAGAACTCACATAAACACTAAAAACCCACACCACATAAAAAGCTTATACATACAAGAAAAAGCAGCATTTCCCATATAATGAGCAAAAGCAGCCTTGGAGCCACTGCAGCTTAACTACTCCAGGGTCACTAACTTGAAAACAAATTAGAGTTTCCTCAGTAGAATGATACACTCTAAATAATTTCAAATACTTACAGTGACCACTGTTATGCCTTGACACATACTCTATATACCATACCGTGCAACTTCAACCACTGTAACAAAAATTCACAATTTAAGAGAATTATGTTTTGTTGGTTTTTTTAAATGCATGAAAATCAGCAAATACCACTTTGTATACAGAAATACAAAGTCACTGTACCACATCTAGGAGCCCACTGTAGCAAGTGGCTTGACAAGCAAAACAGGACTCGTCTTCCTAAAAATAAACCATGGTCAGAGAAAGTAAGTATATCCAAAGTGTAAGCATAGGTTGGCAAAATCCAAACGCTTTTATTAACTGAGAACGAAAATAAATTGAGGAGTATAGTTAAAAACTCATTTGCTAAGTCCTTCTTTCTTAAGACTCTTCTTTAACTTGTATCTTCAGCTCGCATGGGTCATTTCTGCTTCTTCTAGTTTGAGAAAAGAAAATATGTCCATTTCAGAAGTCTTAACTATGAACAGCCACTTAAGACTAAACCAAAAGATCCTCAAAGTCCCTAAACTCTTCAGAACAGAAGGTTATCAAGCCCAGATTCAGATCTGGCATTAAAGGAATACTATCAATTCAACTGAACTGACTGCAGTGCTGAGTCAGGCTAGTAGTATTCTCTTCCATGCTACCTAGGAAAGGTAACTGACAACTTGCTCAGCAAAGATGAACATTATAGCAGTTATACAACACTCGATTTTGCTGTCTCATACTGTTAGCAAGTTTAATGCATATACACCTCATTGCTAAATATCTTATATAAACAGGAAACACCACATGAGCATTAGATGCTAAGAATGACTACTAACGTAAGTGAAGCATGAATCTTGAGAATCTCACATATAGGCCAAAGACTCATTATTTAAAGGAAGCATGCCATCAGAGGTAGGTAGGGATGAAGTTAACCAACCTCTGTGACAGCTGATCAGTGCTCCCAAAAATGGGAAATGAATACTCTAATTACAACTAATATACAATTTCACCACCAAATAAATTCATATAAGAAAAAGAACAAATGAGCCTCCAGTAAATATCTATTCTCATCACACTGACCACTACTCATGTACATGGACATGCAGCAGCTCCCATAAACAGTTTTCTCCTTGTTTTTGAACAGTAAGCTGTAACAGATGTAAGATCATTCCAGTGGGCTGTGAACAATCAGCCTATAAACAAGTCTCCAAAACATTATGCTAATACAGAATACAAGCCAATAATTTAGATGTTTTCAGCAAAAGCGTGTACTTTCAGACTGAAGAATGAATGGGCAAATTCTGACTCTCTGAACTTGACACCAACATTCCCCAAAAAACGAAACGCCTCCCAAACCTCTTTCACAGCTGCCCACCTGTACTGTTCCCACCCTCTTTCTTAAAACAACAGATACATGTCCTGCATTCTTTCCTCTCCAACAAGGTAATTTTGAAACCAGTGATTTCCAATGCAACTGGCAGAGTACCTAATACAGAAATGTCACTCAGTTAAAACTGTAAAGTGAAATTGATGACATTCAAATTTATTACCTCAGTATAATTGTGGAACTGTTAACTGTTATCTTAACCACTTGGTCAGCATGCTTCAGTGGTTGTTTCTCATGTCAAAACACTGCCTAAAGTTTCTTTTAGCAAGTTTCCTCTTTTCATAATCACCATCCCTAAATACCATGCACATATTTACTAGCCTGTACTTGACACCATTAAGACAGGTGTGTATTTTACAGAAACAGATGTAAAATAAATCATGAAACCTAATCAAAATAATGCAGAAAACCTGTGGTACAATCTAGAAATTTTAAGTCTCGTAACTTAAAAGCCATGCTTCTGGCTATAATTTTAATGACTCAGATACAATGCTTCCTTCCCCATTACTTTTTTTTCCATTAAAACGTTCTAAAAAGTGATTATATGTGTCCTGCATTAGGACTTATAAATCTATTTCTGAAAGATTTATATATTCAAGCTTTTCCCATTTATAATTTTGCCTCTCTAGGTTTTAATGAGCAAGTAAAACATAAGCTATATACCTGTTGAGTACAAAGTTAGAAGAAAAGAGCATAAAGAGACTCCATTCATTTCCTTGGCAAGCATAACCGAGCATAGCTATTTCCCACGCCAATCTACCTAGCCCAGCACCAGGTACCAGGATATTAACTTTGGAGAAATCCCTGCAACAGAACAAAAATAATGGTTAAGTCTTTATCTGATACCTCTTAACACAACTTAGAGGTTCAGTCAAACAGTTTTCCCCCCATATGCTTGGATATTATATTATACTTCCTGTATGACTTTACTTTTAAATGGAAGCTTTACCAGTTCTGATCAGATTGGTTAATTGCACAATCAAATTAATTCACAGAAATTACTCAAAAGAACATATAGAGCCCTCATGCAGAATACAGAGCATAATTACTAAACATTTTTTTCCTTAGAACTCTTACAGTTATCAAGCCAAAAATCTCTTCAGTAAATTGAAGAAAGAACATTATCATAGAGCACTGTGTATTTTTCTATGAGGCCCAGTGAAAATCAGTGAGTATCCTAGATACATTTTTTGTTCCATTGAATGAAAAACAGACAACTGTTTTGACATCAGAAAAGCAAAACAAATAAAATCTCCATGATCTGATTAAGTAATTCAGAATGTAAAGACCTTAAAGTCACTGTCTCAGCAGCTGTGGGTTTTACATATGCTGCTCAACAGTCTCCCTGAAGCACTTTAAGTGACGTATCTCCTACACTGAAGTACACTGCAGCTCTCCAACACTCTACTCATAACTAGGCACCAAGCTGAAGACAACCAGAAGACATTCAGCAGTGTGCTTACTGAGATACCTAGAAAAATTTCTCACATTTTTCAAGGGCAGCAACTAACAAATAGAAGAACTAACAGTCTCAGAATTTGTTCCATTTTGAAGCAGAAAAGGCAATACAGACATATTTTAACCATCAGACTTCAATCACAATGCAATCAAAGAAAAAATACTCCCATGCCAAACTGAAAAGATACTTATTTTTCGGTTTCCAGTCATGAACAAGACTTCATGGTTTGATATACAAAAAACCCCCAAGTATGAATACTCATAGTACTCTCCATTTAGCATGTCACCTTTAGAGACGAAACGTACCTCTACCAAATTATGTGAATAAATTGAGGCCATAATCAGCAGTTTCAAACCTATGATAAAAGAGAGCAAAATCCAAGGCCTATGACTACCTGAAAAGTCAGGATGCAAAAAAGTATTCAAAAGAGTTAGTGTGCTGCATAAGCATGAAGAGTTACATAAATTCTGAAAAGCTGTACTTTTCTGAATGTACAGAATGTACTCTCTGCTATTTCTGAACACTATTACCCAAAACCAAAAGAAAGTAGTATTCTTTTCTAAAGGCCACACAATCTAACAAAGCAGTTTTAACAGTGCCTTTGGGGTTTTGACTTAATCATCTAATTAGAAAAGCCTCCCAAATGGAAGATCAAAATTCTCATTCCCAATTTTCATTTCCATTTCATTATACATTCAGGCTCTTTTTCTGATTAACAAGAAGCAGGAAATCATGACTTTGTTATTACTTAAGAGCATTCTTGTGAAGCAAAATCTGTCATTTACCTCCCTTCTACAAGGGAAGCCAGAAGAAAGCTAGCCAGAAAATCCTACTGAAAAAATAAAATCATACGTCTTTTTCTATTCATACCGTTACACTGTTATTCCAAATGTATTTCTAACCTAATCTAATCCTTCATTTCCCTGCAATTTAACTTCATAAAATATTTAGACTAGCTCTACACAGATCTTTACACTCCCATCTGGATACTTCTACAAAGCCACTTTCAAGATTATAGTATGCTGATTAGAAAAAGCTTCTTAAAACAACCTAATTAACTAACAGCTATACAGGTATATTCACATTTTGAAATCTGTGTCGTCATGCACCCTAAAACAAAATAAAGGCTCTAACAGTAAAGTGAGTTGATTGTAAATTGCTCACAGTGGTCTCATATTTTCATGCACAATATAAAGCTTTTGTATATCGAAACAAATTTTCCCAATTTTCTCTTAGAAAATATTTTCTATTCTATTTTTCTAGCACAGTATTTTCATCTGCACCTTTATTAAGTGATTAAAGTCTATCTGGAAACCTTAGCAATTTATTTTCTATCTATACTCTTCGAGTCAGTGGTCAAAGACTGGTCCTGGCCACCAACTTCATTTCAGCATAGAGAGCACATAATCAAATCTCACTCCATTAACACTGACACTAACTTTCCAAAATGGTTCAAGAGCATTTCATTGAATTTATAATGACGGAAATTAGATACGTGGGATATTTACTGCATTACAAGTAATGACTGCTGATAGTGTTCTGTTATCACAAAAAATGGCCAATCACCTTTTTCTTTTCAAGACTTAAAAATAATTGTTTGTGACAAACTGTGAATGAATTTAAAAAAATGAAAGCATAAAACCAGCGGTAGTGGAAGCACTCCAATGCGCTATGCTATGTTGCATTTTGAATCTTTTATTAAAGCTAAAAATCCTTAATTGGACATAAATTGCTTTTTTAATATGGCCACAGTCCTTTAGGAAGCTAAAAAAACATGCTTTCCTTTGGTGGATATGTGATTGCAGCAGTAGGAAAGACAAAAATATCCAAACCTGTGGTTAACTTAACTACCCAAACTTACCCACAGCCTAGAACCAGCCAGCAGAAGCAGGATTACTGACACACATTTAACAAAAGTTAGGAACATAAATGGGTACCAAACAAGTACCCACTAAATATCTGTGGGCCACTAGGGAAGAAACATTAGCCTATTAACCTGACAAGTGTGGGGAGAGGAAGCTAGACAAAGAGCCAGGGAAGAGGGCTGCATGGTATGGTTTGGCTCACCTACTGAAACTGCTGCAGACTACTGAAAACTGGAGAAATACCAGAAACAACTAAAATCTGTCATGCCACCTCTGTAGTGCATTCTGCAGTGAGATCGCTTTTCAGCTTTTAGAAGTTTAATGATATTAATGAAAATTTTAACTTTTTAAAGGGAAAAACTAAACATAAAATGGAAGCTTATATCTTGTCTGTTGTGCTGTAACAAAAAATTATGGTGCTGAACAGGTAAACATGCTCAGCAAAGGAAAAATTAGTGTGCCTGTTCAAACACAACCTTCATTTCCATAAACAATGCAATTCAATTTATCTAATGAAAAGCAGTGGTAAGTACACAACCCATGCAGAGATGGGCTTCTGATCAGTGGAACTACCAGCATAGACCCACACAGCAGGATTCCTTCTTTCCTGGTGTTTTATCTTTATAATGCTTGTAAATTTAGATAAGTTTAGATCCAATTCTCAGTATAGTATTTTCATTATTTTACTTCAATCTTATTTTCAGAGGGTTTTTTTTTAAAAGACAAATGCTAAACAGCACAAACATTTGAAGAGCAATTCTCTGAACCTGGCAGCTGAGTTTTTATATACTTTCATGAAAAGAACTGCAAAGAATTCAGTGGACTGCAGTAACACAGTTGATACAGTTTGCTCTTAAACGCAACGTTTAAAGGAAAGTTTAGGCTAAGGGCAAAATCCTGCAAGGACAGATGCATTTTATAAAAGCTAAATAAAATTCAAATAAAGTAGAAATTTCAACTCTACTACAAACCTGACTGAGCACATGGAAGAAGTATAGCAAAGCTCAGGCTGAGGACTAATAAGCTGTTTTCATATAAAAAAGAAACTAAGCTGTGGTGATTTCTTTTGGGCTGTTCTGCCAGCATCTTGAAAAATGCAATTGACTACTGGACAGCATGACAGTGGATTTCAAGTTATAGCTGGTTCCAGAGGGCAAGTTAAGGAGAAAAGAAAACTGGAAAAAATATCTAAGTTTACTGTTCTAGGCCATGGAATGACAAATAACAAGTAGCTTAACTATTTCTTCTGGACAAGTAGTTGATGATCTTTATATCTTTTCACCTAAGCAAGAAGGGTAACAATAGAAGTGAAAGAAAACCAAGATGACAGAAAAAAGGGGAATCAGGAAAAATGTCTCAGTATGCTTATCCAGATTTTCAACTTGAATGTTTCCCATAAAAATGCTTGAACAAACACATTCCATCTCATGGGACTTCACTTAAAACTGTTTTGTGGATCCTACTAACAGATTCTGCGTTAAGGTGCTAAGCCGAAAGCAGGAATTATTTCTGAAGAGGAATGGGAAGCAGGAACAGCTTTTGCCATTTGTTTTTATATGACAGTCTTATCAGAATATTAGACTGAAACACAACATTAGCACCTGCTCACAGGACTGTTCTAATTTACAGCTGCTTTCAGCCATTGCTTGTATTCTTCTACTTCACAGAAGAGCAAGCATATACAAGACTTCACTACTCTGCCTGTCTTTTACATGCCAACTGAATCCATATAGGTCAGTCTTGCAAAGAACAGCAACACTACAACATGTGCATGCATAGAGCAAAACATACCTGAATAGTTTCAAAAATTTGACCCTACTTTTCACATGATTACAATGCATGGAATCAATAATGCTAACTAGAAACTAAATGTCCCTTTCCGTTGAGTACTACAAATTTGATGAGTATTTCAATTCCTTTTACAAAGTAAAAGATGACTTGGACTGACAGTTTTGAAATATTGATTTCTCCATCATTTTTAATGCAAAAATACGAGTAGATAAAGCTGTTTTCATCACCCTGAGTCAATGCACTTTTTGTCAATGCACTTTTATTTCATCATCTCAGGAGACTTCAGCACTCTGTGCTACAAAAAGGAACTCTTAAGAAATGCAATGCTGCACTCTGAAGTTCATCTGCAGGCTGCTTACAAGCACTGGTGTCCACAGTCAGTACTCCCCCTCTAAAAACAACAGATAAGAGTAACTACACTATGGTCGGTTCAGGCTCTATCCATCCCTTCAAACTTAAACAACCATTCTGCTCCGAAAGTGTATGAAAGAAACCAGGCTGACCAGCTAGCTTGCCTTGCCAGCAAAGTTGCTTCTCACACAAGTGTGAACTGGCATTGCCAGTTAAGCCTGATAGTACATGACTCTGCTTCTTACCTCAAAGAGCTAAGTACACCTAAGTAGCAGAGCCTTCAGTCACCAGGAAAAGGAGTAAGCTGACACAGTAGTAAAATAAAGGTTTTACCTAAGTGCTACAATAGCTCGATAATGATAATGAACAACAAACTTTTAAATATGTATTTATGTAATACAGATTTTAGAAATTTTAAAAAAAAGCTTTGTTTGACAAACTCAGACTTAGTAGTTGAGCTGTTTCTCAATAGAGTAATGTATTGAGGTTTTAGCGGATGTAAAATAACATTTTAGTGGTATTTCAGAGCCACCACAATAAGCATAAATCCCCTGTCACATTAGTTCTGTTTGACAACAACCACCAGAATTCCCAGCAAAGCACACATTATCACATTCAGATTCACCCAATTTACCAATGATACCACATGTTGCTTCCTAATTCCTAACTGCTAGCTTGGAGATTAGAATGATTACTTTCAAAATTGTGAGTTTGCGTATAGATCTACACATCAGAGGCACACCAGGTAACCTGAAGTATTTAATTCATTTTTATCTTACGTGGGGCAATACTAGCACTAAAAACACTGCAGAAAGTTCATTTTCAGACAAAACATTTTTAGCAGTGTTTGTACCTCGAGGTAAGTCAGCCCAAGACAAAATAAAAACCAACCATGTCCACTCTAGGTTCTGCCACCACAAAGAGTCTTTACCAATGAAACTTAAAGATGACTAATGTACAAGCACATTACTGCAAATTACTGAAAGAGAAAAAAACGCACAGTAATACCCAGCTATATTGAACCTAAGTTGTAGATTATTGTATTTATGATTACAAAGTTCACAAATTTCCCCACTGTAACACTTAAGTACTAAAATGTACTTTACAATGACTGGGTTGATTAAATGACAGATGCATTTAACATGGAATTCTTATGGCACTATTATCTTTTGAGATTTTACCAGTATACTTCAAGTTATCTAAAAACCCCTGCATCAATGACTACAAGGCAACACAGTTACAAAGCTACTCCTATACACACAACAGATTTTTTTTTTTAAGAATTGTCTTGTAACACCTTCTGAAACCAAGGTTAGAATTTACTATTTTCAGGGTAAATTCTTAGTGCAATGAAACTATACTAGAGGTTAAGAGTCTTCTTCCTTCCTTACATCATGAAGGGCAACAGTCAACCTTCTGCTGTCACAAGGGTCCTTCCTTTTATCTGTAGCACATGCACTCTGAAAATCTGCTAACCTGCAAACGACTACCTCACCGAGCACAACTGAGTTGACTTCAAAAAGTCCTGAAGTCTTTTACTTGAAAGGCTAACATGTATTCCATTACACCAAGCTGCAGAAAACCAACAAAATTATTCCTGCTTTACCTGGTACTACTTTGTGAAGCCTATGATTATGCTCTTTTCCAACATCTTGTATTAGAAATATAAACTTTCTTGATAAAAAAAATAAATTCCACTGCATTCATAGATATTTATGTATTTTTAAAACCAAGCTTTTCATTACTCCATAAAAACTGTTAGATTTTTGCAACACTGTATGCCCACATAAATATAAGTCTTAAGACACTATTACCATCTTTCTTTTGGAAAGTTCTTTACAATTTCGCTAATGATTGGCTGGTAGCAGGAATCTCTCTCAGGCTTTCCCTCTTCACTCCAGTCTCTCACAAATTGTTTCAATGTGGATTTTAATTTATCCATGTCAAATGTTGAAGCTGGTGTAATCTTCCCTGTTCCCTGATTAAAATGGGGAGAAAACAAAAAGTTAGCAGAAAATGTACCAAGCATCTTCAGTCCTGGGGAAAAAAAAAAAAACCTAACCACAACATAAACTGAGAAAAGCCATACTGTAAGAGCTGTTGTAAGTTTTCCCTGAAAAAGCACTTGCCTTTCACTCCTGGGACCAGGGCTCAAATTCACCCTAATCTCCTAAACAAATTAAGTTTTCTGGTCTCTGTTTGGCATCCAGGTGTCCAGTTTCCACATCAGAAAAACAATACACACTATGGTATAGCCAAGTGCAATTCACAGTTCTTATTCAGGAAAGGACCACGGCTTAGGTAGTACATAGGTTTGACTGTTTACCCTGAAAAGAGGATCCCTTTAGGTACTGATAAGGCAACAACAAAAAGGTTACATTAGAGTTGCCCATTACTGTACCTTGCCTGCAGATACTAAAATGGACATCAGTTTCCATCTCTGCCAATCTTTTAAGTCTGAGTGCGATTTTTTTGATGGAGATGCCACACTGAAAAAGCTTGTCAAGTAGTGAAAAACTGTTTACTGATAACATTTAAAATACTTGGCCTATCTATCTAGAATTGCAACCAATTTAAACGGCTGTTAACATATAATAACCTACAGTAAGACATATGATGTAATTCATGGTCTACATAATTAACTGAAAAAAATAACTTTAACACGTAACCAGGGTAAAGCTAGAACGTTGGAGTGAAAAGGGCTTTTTTATAACTCTTTAGATTCACTGTTATTTTTCATATGTGTAACTAAAAGAACTAACAGCATTATTAAGCTCTACAAAATGTGAAAGACAAGAGTGAGAAAAGTGTAAGCAAACAAGAAGAAATGAGAAAGTAAACAAGGCAAAAGGGAGGAAAATTGGAAGCCAACACGCATGATAAACAAATGTAGAAAATTCCTAAGTGTACAGAATTTAATTTTAGATTAAGAAAAAGTCTATTTTAACATACATCTTCTCCGTATTTTTTATTTTCAAACATATGAATGCAGTCCTTCACAATGGTCTGTAGTATCTCTTGATTATGATCAATGCACTTCCGAATCTCGTCAAGGTGAGGAAGAAATTGAGGAAGAAGACTCTGTTGGTTAGCTGGGAGAGACTTAAACTGCCTCTCTGTTCTGTTCACTCGTTCATGCATATTCGTTCTAAAAAACAAAAGTTTTAGATATTTAGAAGCACGACACACATTACATGTAAATAATTTACTCTAAGCTATTCCAATTAAGAACAGTTATTTTGTTATACCCAAAAAGTGATCACACTTTGTAATTCCTTACTAGACAACAAGTTTTCAATAATTTCCTAACCAAAATGTTTTTTTTAAGCCCTAGTTCTACATTATCACTCTCCTTAACATGTTACAGTTTAAGAGAACTCTTGGTTTTTAGAGTTTCACCATCAGCCACTTATTTCCAGAGCAGGCAATCACTACCTTAATACACGCATCTACAAAATTTAACAACCATCTCCCAAGATGGTTTCACAAATGCAATTTGAACTGAATGAATAGCTGGATGCAGTGGTAAACTTCAGTTACAAAAATGACAAGATGTGGTGGGAATTGTGAACCTCAAAATCAACTGCTTCTGCAAGAACTAAAATCACAGCCGGATCATACCAGCATTCTGGCAGCCACATAAGATACAAAACTACCTTCTTTTAACAGCATCTCCCCTCTAAGTATGAGCACTGTGAAACTGATCATGTAATTGATGCAAGCTCAAAAGAACTCTTCCACTTCTCCAAGATAAGTTTCATAAAAATACTGAATTTTCCAAGATTTTCTAAGTTTGGTAGATTTGATTTCTGTCTAAACTGACCAAAGACTATTTGCTGAGTGCAGTCATAATGACTCTAGAGAGAAAGGTCATAAAGCCAGGACAACAGATACTGCCCCTTTTGGCCACCATCTGTGTATTACATCAAAGAATGTGAATAGAAATCATTGTTAATGACATTGTATTAAACAGAGTAGGACCTCAACATGATGTAAATAGTATACAATAAGGAGTAGAATGTGTTGATTTGAGCTGAAGTAAAGTTAACTTTCTTCACAGCAAGTGATGACATTTATCTTCCCAAGGAACTGTTATGTGTGATAGCGCCCTGCTCTCCTGGAGATGGCTAAACACCTCCCCTCCTGCCGAAGCAATGAATTAATTCCTTGTTTAGCTTTGCTTATGTCTACAACTTCTTCTTTCTCTATTCAACTGTCTTGTC